GGGTCCCAATGCACAGTGACTACTGTTATGGCTACTACCATCTTCCTGGCAGCCACTGGGCCTTTGGTCACAGCAGGCTATGGAGGAGCAGTGTTGCTGCATGAAATGTGCCTGTGGGAAGCTCTATGATGGCCTTTCTTCGAGCACATTGCACAGCCCCATGCTGCCTTCCTTGTGTTGGCTCCTTAGGTTTCTCCTCAGTCATCTCCAGATGCAGGACTAGCCCGAAAAAAAGAAGTAAATGACTGTTAATATGTCATTTTAGATCAGTGTTTGCCTGTGGGGTCAGGAGAACTGGATCTGTGTAACTGGAGCTCCTTGAGGATGTGAGGATGCCTCCTTAGCCCTCAAATCAGGGGAGGAGACATTAAGAAGCCCAGGTCCCGAGGCTCGCGGGTCAAAAGTGTCAAATCCTTGCCTCTCCCATGTCCAAAAGAGTCTTGTGGTTTAGTGACTGCCGATTGACTGAAAAGTCTCATTGCAATCAAAAGGGTGGTGCAATCCTGGAAGATACATGTGTATGTGTCAAGCCAACAGAGAATAGCCATGAGTTCTGCACATCGCCCCTGAGCTGAATGGCAGAGGGTTGCTTTTTGAGGAGTTTCTGAGGCGTTACCTGATATGCACACGCAAATCAAACGCACCGCAAGTAGCCGGCTTCGCAACACCGTAAGGCCGGCGGCTTGTGCCGCCATCCCGATGCAGGGTTTGCCCCACAGAGCTTCTTGCTGCTGTTGGGAGGAGGCCCCTTAGTCCACTGCCATTCTCGGGGGACACTTGGCCAGCATAGCTATAACCCTGTGTATCTTAGCTACAACCATGCCTTCCCTGCTTAACCTTCTTGCAAGTGCTTTGCCGCAGACAGCCCTCGCCTCTCCTCCGGGAGCCCTGGGCACGCTCGTGGCTCTCTCTGTGCTTGGATAGCACCAGTGTTTTCCACATAGTTTAACTTATTGTTAGTGCTGTTGCTGTTATGAAAGGACTGCTGAGGGACGCCAGCGATGGCAGAGGTTGTGCTGTGCTAAGCACTGTGCACAACAAGAGATTTCCTTGTCCCACGGAGGCTGCAGGTCAATTGGCTTCATGTTGGTCTTTGCATACCAAGGCTGGAAACGTGCTTCTGAATCCCAAGCTAGAAGGGCCTTGAGAGCCATGTTCTCTGCTGGATATGTTTGCCCCCATTTGCTTCAGATCCCCCGCTTTGTGCTTGTTTGCAAAGAAAGGGATTGGTTTTGCTTTGCCGAGGGCTGCGAGGGGTGATGGATCCGGTTCTGCTCGCTTCCCTCACCGCCAGCGGATGGGTGGGGATGTAACTGGGAGCAGGGGTTAGTTCCTCCTTGGTGGAATGCCCCAGCCATCATGCCAAGAGCACTGCATAAAGCAGACTTTGAAAAATCTGTTCTACTTGAGGTCAGCACTTCATCTGATGAAGTTACAAGATAGATGTATTTTATTTTGCAATCTGTTTTCTAGCCATTACTTCTTTGTACCATGTGAAGTCAATTCAAGACAGGCTTGTTTCCAGCTAAATCTCAAAGCAGGAAATGTTATTTTCTCCCTATTTACTTCCCTCCTTTCTGGCCCTGCTGCAGGGCAAACAAGTGTGCAGCTCCTTACAGAAGAGAAATACCAAGGATGTTCTGTAGCTGAGGCCTCCAGAAGCAACGTAGCCAGTCCTTTCCCTCTGTCCACAAGCCACTACTGTTTTTCAATCACTTCTCTCTACTTTCCACACCTGAAATGCTGTCAGTTCTCCTCATCTTATTGAGAAAACACATGTTCCTGAGTATCTTCCATCTTCAGCTTCTGGAGACAAGTGAAACTCCAGGATATTCCTAGGCTTTAAGAACAGCACCAAAATGCTCCTAACCCAGTGGCCTCTCTGATTTCTAGGTCCAATAGTTGTTCAGGACCTCAGGACAGTAGTTGCCAAGGACCTTCCTGGGTTGAGTTTGCAGACCCTTCTTGCTTTCTCTGGGACTAGCATATAGAGGTAGAGCATGACTCCTACTGTTAATGTGGCAAGGAGTGACTTTGGAATGAAGATGAGATTTCCAGAGCGAGCACTGAGCGATTGGCCTTATTTCCTTCTGGTTCAAAAACTTCCTTACTCTTTTCTCAATTAGCATCAGGTTCATCTGATCGTGATGGATAGCTAGGGGCTGCCCAGCACTTTGGAAGCAAGAGTCTCTGTTAACAAAGCTTCAGTGTTGTTTAGTCGCGTCTGGATAGAATGAAGTTAATAGATTTATCCCTTCACAGGACGTGTATCTCTACCTGAACTGGGACATCCTTTATATGGTAAGGTATTTGACACACTGCCGGGGGCACTGACCTTCTCCAGGCTCTGTCGCTCTTCCCTTGTGTGCATCAATGAATAAATAGCCTTGTCTCTGCCGTCAACTCCCTTCTCCATGCTGTTCAGAGCGGACCTTGCGCTCCCTCCAATGTGTTGGCTCTGCACATCAGTACCACGTTGATGTTCTGGTCATCCTGGTGCTCGGTTCGGTACTAACACGTTTATCAAGCTTGCATCCTCAAAGCGGTTCTGCTATTGAGTGCAATTGGTGATATTGCTTTTTCAATTTCATCTCACATGTGAAATGTACATTTTTATATTAAATTTGTGCCACAGGGAATTATTTTTAATTACGTTGAGCTGGAAGACGATAAAATAAAGTTGAATAAGTGAGACCTATGCAAAGAAGTCATGGAAACCATATCAGAGTAGTTGAAATATACTCCTAGGACATGGTGTATCGTTCCCATGAAACAACATATCCTAATGTAAATAAAATACTTGTAATTAAAACTGTTAATCTTTTGCTTTTAATGGGAGGAAAGGAGCAGAATCAATATCTCAAGGGCAAGATTTTCAAGTTTGTACCCTCTGCCCAGGGAGGTGGCAGAAGCTCCATGCTCAGTTTTTAAAGGTACAAAAGCTATTGCAAAGCACGTTGTCCTGGTCTGGGAGGAGGAGGGAGATGTGGAGAAATTTTTTTATTTTTATTTTTTTTCATGTTAGAGTGCTTGTGGACAGCTCAGGTGGCTGGCAGGAGTCACTGGTTTGCAGAGTGGTGGCAATGTCTGCAATGCACTGAGTGTCCAAAACCCATTGCCATCATGCACAAGGGTCATTTTGGGCTCCTAGTGGGTTGCCTGTTGCAAAATGCAGCCAGGAGTCCAATTAGATGGAGATCTGCCTTCGCTCTGGTGCTTTCACTTTGCTGTTTGCTCTGTTTTGCCACCTGAGAGTGCAAATTTCTTCTATTAGATCTCTGAGCTTGGATCAGGGGGCTGTCTCTCTTTGAAGCTGGTGATTGATACCCTGCAAATTAAATTTGGCAAAGAAGCACTAAACTCTGTCAGAGTAATGGCCTAGGTCTCCAAAGCTGAATCTTGAGCTCTGAAGATATTAATTATTCTTTACATTTTGTTGCATATTGAGCTGCGTCTAATCATATTGTGAAATGAGATGGAAACAGCCAAGAAGGCAACAGCTCTGCCGAGGCGGAGAACCTTTCCGCGGTAGCTGATTAATTGAAGTATTCGCATGAAATTGTGCCTTGATTATTTTTTAAGGTAACAGCCAGAGCCGGTGCTGAGACTCTCCGACTGGACGCAAACCAGACGCTCGAGGCGCGTTTGGGTCTGTGTGTATTTTAGATCTGATGAAAGGCAGGAAATGGGAAAATCTGGCAAATCTCCCTGGCTTGACTTAACGGAGCCTCTTGACTTTTGCTAGAGTGCATTTTTTGTGCTGTAATGGCCAAGTGGAAATTTAGACTCAAATCTGGACCTTGGCGCGGGTATGCTTAGTTAGCTTTTTACGCAATGGTGGAAAAGAAGGAAAGGTGTCTGAAAATTAAAGCGCCTCATGTTTAACTGTTTCTGCCCTCTGGTTTCCCCTTGTTTTGCCTTTGTAGAGAAACTTGTAACTGCAACTTTTCCCTCATTTTGTGTGTTGACTTGTTGATTTGCAGGATGTGAGCCTGATGCTGCCTTGTGCTATCTAAGGGACATCATATCTAATCCCTCGGAAGTCAACAGCATCCAAGTCCTACATGATTACTTTAAAGTAGAATTAAGGTGTACGGTGGGATGCCAGTTGGTCTAGGCTCCCTTTGACCTAAACTGGATTGAATTCCAGCTTCCTGGGTGACTGATTTACTCTCTCTTCTACTTTTTCCTCTGTTATTTCCTCCAGTGACTCTCTTGATATGTGAGGCTGCTCTGCATGGTTTATGTGCAAGCCCATGAAAAAATCTCCCATCGACCTGCAGAATGCAGGATCAGGCCCTTAAAAGAAATATAAAAAGAAAAAAAGAGTAATTGCAATGAATTAGGTTAATATCTGTTAAATTGCACCCTTTTCGCCGTTCTTATTATGCGTGCCATACCCTGTGGAGCTGCTGGGCGCCGGGACCCCGCTGAGTTGTGGCGCGTGCCGAACGAGCAGGGCGCCTTGGAGCTCCTCATGGTGTGACTGTGGGCTCTGCAGCCTCCCTTAATTTAATTTAATTTTATGTGTTCAGACTATAATCAATTTTATGCCACTTTAATAAGCAAATGTGTGCTATCAGCATGCTAAAGGGGCTTGTCATTCAAAGCTTCCCAGACGATCCACCATTTTATATATTGGCTAAATGCTCAGCTGCTCTAAAGCTGGCACCTGCACTTCAGTCACTGGTGGCACCAGGCAGGGACTTGACCTTGGTATATGTTGGCCCCTGGAAATGTTCTTCTCAGTACAATAAAGGGACAAGCAATTGCGTGTCCCCAAACATTTGATAGTCTGACTCAGCTCAAGTGCCAAATGTTGTGAGAGCAAAGAGGGACTTTCATTTCTCTTTGCGATAGAGGCAAGTGCTGTGCTGCAAAATGCTGCTGTAATGGAAGGGTGGTTTGAGTGACTGTCAGAAATCACTTTTTCTATCTTTTGACGGTTTTAAATGAAACTCACCTGGGGATCTTCTCTCTTCCCCTCCTGAACCTGCAGGAAGATCTGCCTGCACTGTAAGTGCTCCCAGGAAGAGCACATCGTGACCGTTATGCCTCTGGAGATGGAGAAGACCGTCACCAAGCTCATGTTTGACTTCCAGAGGAATTCGACCTCCGATGACGACTCCGGCTGTGCCTTGGAAGAGTACGCGTGGGTGCCTCCAGGCCTCAAACCTGAACAGGTAGAAACAAACACAAAGTTACTGCAAAAAGGGGATGTTTTTAAGCTGCTCCTTGGAAGTGCTTGGCTTGGTTTTCTCTGAGGGCTGCGAGCACTTTCTGCATGCAGCTCTGTTTCTAGGTGCACGACGAGGATGTTCAGAGGGAGACATGGCCTGAGTACACAGCTAGGCAGAAAAATGGAGATGTGATCATTGGGGGACTTCTGATTTTGTGTGTCTGTAGGTGTAATTTGCAACTGAGAGGAGAAAAACAAATCAAATACTTTCAGGATGGAGCTTGCTGTGGTTAGAAAAGGGAGCATACGATACAGACATATCTACTACTGTTTCATGGAAAAAATGTGGTGGGACTCCAGTGTGTCCAGGGGGTTTATTGGACACGTTCTGCTCTCATGGACCTTCATGCCCATATGGTGAGTCCAGGACAAACAGTCAAAGCTGGTAGGTCACGCTAAAAACGGACCAAGTACTTGGGGGTTTGTTTCTTCAAGCATGATGTCTGCCACTTATTGGAAGGAAACGCTCAGATGAAGTTTAAATATCTCTGTATAAGAATTTAATAGGATGGATTAGACCTCAGCATGCTGTCTGTGTGCAAAGCACATTGATTTCTGTTCTCTGCAGTTTACACGATTCGCTTAGTTTTTATGCTGATCTTTTACATGTTCAACTCGGAACTTAATTTGCGGAGGAGATTGCAAAATGAGGTTAGCCTTGATAATTGCTATGGCAATCATTTCAAACCGTGTAAGGAGGCTGGGAGAGGGTGGAAAGCTTTCATTCTTATTGTTGTAGTTACTGTCTTTTGAATATTGTGTTTTCCTGAGTTTTATTCAGAAGGACTCAGGCATTTCCTGAAATATTTTGGCACCACCCTAGGCTGTAAATACTATCTGTCTGATTAGAGAAAATCCAGTTGTTGGGGGTTTTGTCTTCTCCTGTCTTTACAAGCCTTGTTCTGTGCTTGGTTTACGCTCCGCAGCACCGTATGTTTCATTTGTTGCCATCTGACCATGCTAATTAGGTGACAGCCTCACTTTCTGTCACCTTCCATATGCTGGAGGCTCCTTTAGAGCCTTCCTGGAGGTTCAAGGTACAGCGATGTGGCCAGGCACAGATGGGCATGACATAGCTCTGCTTCTCCTCTGCTGAGGGGACATGAATCAGTTGCATTTCCAAGGGCACGTCATGGTGGGACTGTCTCCACGCTGGCATGACCTTCACTCCTCACCGCCTTGTGTCCAGATGTGTAAGTCCATGTAGCTTTGGGTCAAAATACAGCTGTTTGGTGACCACTTACACCTGACCAGGTAGATGTGGTCTCTGATGAGTGCAGTATGGCATGTACAGTGATTGAAACCATCTTTCAGCAGAGTGGTGACATATTCCAGAAGACCGGATGTTTATTTGATCCCCAGATGTCTTTGCTGCAGATGTATTTTAAGAAATAGTGTGTGTGCCTTCAGGGAGTTCTGGATGCACAGGAGAAAAAAGCCCGTGAGCTCCAGCAGTAGGTACTGCTGTCTTGTGACCCAGGTTAATCTATTTTTAGGTTCCTCCAGCATCTGTTTCTTTCATCGGTCACTGTGCTCCTTGAAACAAATACCAGATTTCTAATTGCGCTCCTCTCTCTGCGTTGCTGGGTCTTTTTAGCAGATTTGCTGCTTCAGACCTGTCTGAAATCACCATGGAGATGAAGAGCAGCCTGGTACCATAAACAGCACCTAAGGCAGGCACTGAAATCCTTCCAGCCCAGCTCATGCAGGAGCCCTTTGGGAGCTTTGGGGATGGCAGACAAAGTGCTAGGGAGAGGGGAGCAAGGTCAGTCCCCTGCACGTGGTGGAAGGGCCACACCGACCTTGCTGTCCCCATGCAGCACTCCGCATTTTTCTGCATCGCTGCCGCCCACGTTCTCCCAGCTCCGCTGCCCGTCTCCGCCAGCCCCAGGATTGCAGCGTTTGCAGCCTTGGGAGGTTCCCCACGGAGCCCGGCACCGCGGGGAGGTGCAGGGGCAGCTCCGTTCGCCTCCCGCGGCCCGGAGCTCCGCGGTTAGGAGGTGTCTCTGCAGCAACTTGCTGGCGCTGGAGCGGTACGAGATCGCAGACAGACATGTGGCTTTCTGGTCGATGAGTCAAGTGTGCGTACGTGATGTGGAGCCTCAGCTGCCGTGAAGCAGCTGGTGGGCCCCAGTCTAATCTGCTCGGAGGACACTGCTGTCAGGCTGGGGTGAAAATACAGATTTGCAGGCAGTGAATTTTCCTCCACCTTCTGGTGCTTCGCTGTTGTATTTCTCTGACATGAAACAGATGAAGTGAAACAAGTTTTTCTGTAATATTCCACTTTATTAAAATCTCTATGCAGCATATGAGCTGAGGAGGTAAGTAGTCCCCTGAAAGGCGAATGCAATTCTCTTATGCTTGGAAGAGAGCCTTAAAACCTCGATATCCTTGGGAGACAGCGCTCACAGCTCACTCAGCGCAGCAATTTACAGGATGTCAGAGGGGACATTGGCCAGCAAACATGACATCGGTTTCTGGCAGCTTCTCTAGGTCGCTTCAGAATTTGGACACTCCCTTCAATGCACAGCTTAAAATATTTGTTAATTGTAACCTAAAGGAGAACCAGGCCAAACCTACAAGGTCTCCCTGAATTCCTGGATTGATTGGAGCCTGAGCCAGCTGGTCCAGCTTTATTTGGCAAGTGAAAGTCATGGTTTGTCATTTAGTGCCAACTAATGAACAGGGGGAAAAAAAAAAAAGTATTGGTCCATTTTTTTTATAGGTAATTATCCAGAGATTTCCTTGAAGAGCTGAGTTGAAAGTGTATGCCTTATGTTATGGCTGATCAGTGTGCCTGATTACAAAGTGTTTACATAACCATCATAAGTGCTTTCTAAATATGTTTATAACACAAGGGTGAAGATAGTAATTTGAAAAGTATTATAATACCCTTGCATAAGACAACTTCATCAGGAAAACTGGCAAAATTTCCTGACATCTTGCTCAAGAAAGAATAATTCAAACTGGAAGCATAGGAACAGGGACAGTGGAAAGGTTATTTTGCTGAGGAGGACTTGGAATGGCTTGGTTTGTTCATTGCAGCAAATCGAAGAGATGTGATCCCTCCCTGTGCATTAAAGGAGGACGAGTAGTTACTCAAGCTCAAACTTTGGCACAGCAACATAGATATAAACTGGCGCTGAATGCGTTCAGGCAGGAAATTGGAAGAGGTTTCAAACCATCAGAGGTGTAAGGCTCAGCGGCAACCTGCCAGCAAGGGAGGGCGAGGGGTAAAAACCCAAGACTGAGCTCAATAAATTACAACATGATTGGAAAATGTGATTCTTTGTCATGGCAGGAGGCTACACGGGATGACCAGAGGGCTCCTGTGACTTTTAATTCCAGCTGGATTAGGAGATATTTTCTCTTAAAAAGAAAATATCATATGGCAGAAGAGGAACTTCTCTTTGGGAAGATAGAAATGTAAATGGGCTTGCAAGAGATACAGCTGTTTGGAAGAGGAAACAGAAGCTCAAGTTTAGAGCTTTGAGAAATGCTCATTTTTGCCTGCATGCAGCTTGATGGCTATATAAAGAAGTAAGTGTCAAAGTTTTGAGATGAGCAGGCAAAAATAAAAGCTTGTTCTGAATGAAGCCAAATCCCAGGCAGGGACTGGCCCTGAAGCCTTGGGAAGGCGGTTTCAGGAGCTGGGTTGTCTGTTGGAGCTGGTGGTCCCATAATTGATCTGCCTTACCCTGACATCAAGTCTGGGGACAGCTGCTTAGAAATGAGTACTTTTGCAATATGTTTTTCACATTCTTGGGCAGAGAGTGTATAAATACACGTGAATGTGCAGCCTTGAATTCTTTGGGTCTGTGAGTTTGGAAAGATCCAAAGAAAGGTTAAAACATAGCAACTCGGATTTCTGAATGCAAGGGATTTTTGAGGATTTCTGCCTTTATTGTGTCTCAATAATAGGAACAGCTGGTTATGGGCACAGATTCTGAATTAAACAAAAGCTGGGCCTCTGCCTCAGCTGCGGTGTGGCTTTCTGCACGGCTCCAACACGTCAGGATTTGAGATCCCTGCATGTGCCGTAAGAGCTTAACTCCCTCCTGTTAACAGCACAGTTGCTCCAGTTGGGTCCCTTAAAAGTTATGAAAACCTCATCTAAGCTAAAATCAGTAGCATTAAGGTTCAGGGGACCACTTTCCTCTAAGGCACACATTAAAAGTTGGGTCTTGAAAGCTTTGTAGTGCAATGTGAAAGTAGTAGCTGTCCCAAGGAATGTATTCAGTAGCTAATGTGTGTGTTGATTCCTGTTCTGGACCTTTAGCAAGTATAAAAGGCCTGAGATCTAATACCCCCAAGCGTCAGCAGTTGCCCAGCAATAGCAGAGCTTGTTCCGCTTTTGGGCACTGTATTTCACTCCTCAAGAGACAAGTATTTTATGGAGGAAAGAGCGAATAAGACAGACCACAGCAACCCTATAGCCCAGGCCTGCATAAGAACAGGGAACTGATAAGCTAATTTATGGCTAGATAAAGAAATGACTAAAACACCATCAAGAACCTTCCTCGACCTGATCACGTGAGCAAAACGTGCCAGCTGGCAACACAGCAGAGTTGTAACTCATATATACCTATGTCTGCTGCTGCAGTCCCTTCCAACTGTGTCCCTTGCACACATGCATGCTGGAATATTTCCCCCCAAAGCTGCATTTAAGCCTATTTTGAAGCTGTCTGCTTTGAGAAGTGGTCAGTGGTTGCTCGCTGACACTTGGTGCTAACAGTGAAAAAGCGATTTAACAGTACGCTGGACTTTTGTTCTGTTTCTACATCGCAAGGCATTTGTTTGATCCCCCTTAGCTGATGGAAGCTGCTAAAACAGTTTAATCCTTGCACGGTCTTGTTATCAGGAAGAGAATCGACTTCTTTTGGTAGGCCGCGGAGAGAAAAACATTAATCTGAAGTGGTTTGCACGGCTCTGAAGCCTGAAGTATTCCTGGAGCTGTCAGGAGAGGTAAGAGGCAGGGGAACAGCAGGAAATGGAAAAGAAAATAGAGAAATCCCAGAGTACACCCTGTAAACTTGTCTTGGAGCTTTATTCCGGCGTACAATTACAGCTTTTACTTGTTATGGCATTATTCTAATACGCTACCACTCAAATTATAAATACAAGAGCATTTTAAGTGGCATACCCAGCGGAATTAGAAACATGTCAGCTGTAATCAATGCAGCAAATGATCATCATCGCTGCTCATGTTCCCAGGGACAGAGCAGTGTGAGCGCGGGTCCTGTGGTCAGTATAGTGCAATAAAAAAGCACTTTTTACAGGTACTTGAAACACTGGTTCTGACTCCATTTAATCCAAATTCATTTTTTTCCTTAAAAAAAAAAAAAAAGGAAAAGAAAATCTCTGCATGTGCTTTTCCAAGTCTAAAACTTGTGGATATGTGTCCTTGATTCAAACATTCGTTAGTGCCAGCGGGAAGTAATGTGTTTTTGGGACCGTTTATAGGCCAAGAATTGCACAACTCCAAAAGCTTAGCGGTAATGGATGTCATTTGCAACGGGGAAACGAATGAACAGCAATGCTAAAACTAATCTACTGCCATTAGCCATGGGAGGGAAATGCAAGGAGGGCTGCAAAGCGTGCCAGAGCAAATAGAGTTTATTAGAGTTATCACTCTTGCAGGCTGCCTTTGTTCTGTAATGCAGACCCCGTTATTGCCTTCGTCTCCCAGGGAGGTGGCAGTGCCCCTGTTCTGCCCGCAGGCAGTGAAGACTTGCATTTGAGCCCAGCACCACCAGACCCCTGTGCTGGACGTGCTTTGCCCGGGGGTTTTGGTAGCCCACCCGGGTCTCCAGGCCTCCGTGCATTCCTCCTTCTTGCTCTTGACGGGATACGTGGCTGGCCACATGCACGTGCATGAGCCAGACTGGCCTGCAGTGCTTATGCTTTGCTTTATTGGCCATGCTACAAGAGATATTTTTCTTTAAGAAATAAATAAATGCTTCATATCTGAGCATTCCTGGAAAAAGAGGACGTGTCAAACCTGGGCCAAAGCCATCTAAACCCGTTTTCTAGTTTTGCACATGGTCTCAGCTGTTGAGCTCTACAAAAGCATTTGCAAAATGTTGCCGGCACGTTAAGGGGGTTATTTGCGTGTGGTTGGTTTTGTTTCATTTTCCCTCTCCAAGGGAGGCCGGTACGAGCGGTGCAAGCGTCGAGGGCACCCTCGCTCACCCAGCCGGGCTCGGCGGGTGCCGCGGGCAGAGCTGTTTGCCTTGGCACTTCGGGGGCTTTGGGCTTCGGTCGCCCACGGAGCGCCGGGACGGGCTGCAATCCTGCCCTTCTTTAGCAGGGCCAGAATTTGTAAAAGTCAAACTGGAAACACGCCCCGAACCTGGGAAGGCTGCAGAACATGAAGGCGTTTGTAAACTAATGTAATTACTTCCCTCGGTGCCTTTGAATGAAGTTGGCTCCACTTTAAAGACTTTTTCCTGCGCTCGATTTACGCTGCGTTCTTTCCTCTCCCCTGGTTTCTTTCTCTCTTCCCTCCTCCCCTCCCTTTTAGCTCAGAGGAGTTATTAATTTCCCAAACACGTATCAGCTTTTGTTCAGGAGTCTCTTCCTCAAACCGTGCTGTGCTTGACCCGCTCACCACCACCTCCTCCTTTTGAAGACCGGAATAACACCTTGGGAAGCGCAGCCTCGGTGCCGAGATGGGTATCTGCTCCGCCGCGGAGCATCGCCACAAGGACGAGGGCAGCACGGCTTGGTGGCATCATAAGGAGTCTGTCACCTCTTGGCCTCACGCTGCCCACATCCCTCCTGAGCTTCTGCTGTGCTGATGTGACTGGAGGTGGCAAGTGAAGGGATGACAGGGGACAATCCGGAGTGAAGTCTGGCGCAGCCCCTCGAGTGGCTCGTGTGTGCAATGCTTCTTTGGATGACCACAGTGGACCTGCTGCAGCAGCAGGACGTCAAGCTGCTGCATTGTGTGGCACAAGTATTTAATAACAAAGCAGTTCAGCGTGCTGCACAGTTCAGAAAGGATGTGTTGTCCGGCGTGTTTGGGCAACAGCAGCCCACTGTTTCCTGAAGTGGATGCTGCTCATGGTGAAGAGCCCCTAAGGCAGGTGAAGAGGCTTCCACTGATACCTGCAGGACCTGGGTCAGGCCTGGTGGCAGCAACTGCAGGGCCCACCAGCTCCCAAGGCTCGTGCATGCTCAGAGTGAAAGCTGGATGGAAAAGCAGCTTATTTCCATGGAAAATACTGACCTTTTGTTCCAAGGGAAAGTGCAGACTGAGCAGTTTCAGTTTTCCGGCGATTTAACATTTCTGCAGATCTTTCTCCATGAGAAGCTGGATTTCTCTGCATATTCCCCCTTCCCTTTCTTATATTTCCCTAATGTCGAGCATGGGCTGCTCCTGTTCCTGGGCTGCTCTGGCACTCCAAAGCTCAGGGGCCCCTGGCCAGACCTCTGGCAAGCGACATCTCCATGGGACATGAGCAGCCCTCTCTGCTTTTGTTCGGTGTACGAGGGTCACAAGTGGCACGGACAGGTCAGCAAGTGTCTCCGCTCCAGGCCCTCCACACGGGTCGTCCCGCCGAGCTCATGTGGATCCAAAGCAAAGCCAGTCAGGGTGTTGCAGGCAGGGCAGGCAGGTTGGAGCCTGTCGTGTTTGTTTTGTTGTGTTTTCCCAACCGGATCGCCCAGCCCTGCAGAGCTATGTTGCTAGTGTGACGGGAGCTGCTTCACGCAGACCTACGGAGACTAAATGGAAAACTTCCCGGAGGAAGCGGGAAAGGCGCTACGTCCATATCGCGCTGTCGGACCGCCGGGAAGGCAGCTCCCAGCCCCTCCAGGACCTGGGTGGCAGAGAGGAAAGTTTGCATCTCCTCTTCCCTCTTAGGGCTTCCCTCTTGCACCTCACTGCCGCGTGGACCTGCGCAGCCCGATGTGTCTTGGCAGCTCCTCCATAAGAAGTCGCTCTTGGATTCTGCCAGCTTCCAGCACACGGTGGGCACAAGGACTTCGGGGCAAGATCGGAAAGCAGCCAAACCTGAGCACAGGTGAAATGGAGCAGCCCATCCATGTGGGGAATTCAGCGGAATTTTGGAGAGCTCAGCTACGGACAAGCCATGCAAACTTGGAGAGTTCACTCACCATCCACATGTTGCAAATAGTCCTTTGCAGTGGGTATATTTGCTGCTGTAGGTAGACTGTCATAGGAATTAAGTGTTTATAGAGCTCTTTGATGTCCTTGGGTGAAGAATGCTCTACAAATGCAAAGTAAGTATTCTCTTGTTCGTAGTTTAGCATAACAAAATACTTAGCAGCCTGCCTTTCTTCTGCAGTTTCCATAGCTGATAGGTCCGTTCAGCTGGGCCTTGGCAAAACAAATTCAGGTGGCATTTGCTCAGCACGTTCCTCAGAGCAGTTCCCTTGCCAGCAGTGCTGCAGAGTGGAAGTTTGTTAAAAATATCCCTTTCCACAAAACCTGGTGGCAGGAAAGCTGGACCGTAGGGTCCATTTCGGAGAGAAATACCGCAGAATGGAGAGGTTGGGAGGAAAATCAATTGCAAGCCCTAAAGGCTCTCAGGTAGCTGCACAGGGGAGCAGCCACCCCCGCTTCCTGCTGCCTTTTCCCACCAAATGTCACAGGGGGTTTCAGAGCTGATCCTCAGGCGGGTGGTATCATCCCGGAGCTGGTGCCTTTCCCAGCCCTCAAGTGAAAGTCCAGGTGTGGCAGCCGGAGCGGAGACGCGGGGGTGCAGGATGTGCGTCCTCTCTGCGCTGCCACCGCGTCCTCCGGCAGCGGGACATGGGTGCTGCCTTCTAGCTGCACATTCCTCAGCCTTCCAGCAGATCTCCATGAATTGCTTGGGAGAAATAAATAAAAAATATAGCAAGAAAGAAAAAAACTAGAGGGTTTTAATGGAGGCTGAAGCAGTTGGGAACAGCGAGGGTGCCGGAGCCTTGTAACCCGCTCTGCCGGGGCAGGTGCTGACACATCCTCACCGCCCCGCGGAGCATGAGAACACGGGGGAGGCTGGCGGAGCAGACGGTAACGCGCCGCCGCCGGCACCGCTCTCGGTCACGCTTGCTGGGGGGAAAATATATATATATGTATATTAAAAAATTGACGTGTGATGCACTTTGTTTTTGCGCTTTGAATAACCGGAGGGCCCAGGTCCAAAGGGACTTTTCCCCCTCCTCCGCAGCTGCTCTCCGAGCGCTGCTGCAGTCCCCTCTTCCGCTCTCTCCAGGTGCACCAGTACTACAGCTGCCTCCCCGAGGACAAGGTGCCCTACGTGAACAGCCCCGGCGAGAAGCTGCGCATTAAGCAGCTCCTGCACCAGCTGCCGCCGCACGACAATGAGGTGAGCAGCGCCAGGGGAGGGCACGTGCCCGATCCCGGGATCCCTCTCCGCTCTCCCCGCTTCCCGGGAAGCTTGCAGCTTGCTCACCGTCTAGATGGATGCACTTCCCTACCCATTGGGACTGTTTTCGCGGGTGGTTTAAAGTTAAGTTGCCATTTTCGTTCTTAAAATTACCTTTATTTAGTTTTCTGGGGAAAAAAAAAAAGTCTTTCTGCACCCTTGGAGGCCAAAGCTGTGTTAAAAGTGTCTTGAGGTGCGGTTGAAATCAGTTGGAGCTCAATTCAGTGCAAGCTGGAAAAGCTTTTCTTCCTTTGCAAGCGCAGGCACAGAGGAGGTGTTTTCCCCTGACTGTGAGTTAGGAGCTGTAAGAGCCTGAAACAGCTGAATTCAAGTCAAAACCAGCCAGAGAAAACAGAAGCGTTATTACATCTTGCAAGGAAAGCTGCCGGGCAGCCAAAAAGGTCCGACCTTTGCTGTCCTCTTCTTGCTGGCGTGAATGTCAGAGCCTGCAGGACTTCCCTATGCGAGCAGCAAATTATTTCCTTGCCGTTTTTTGGGAAGCAGCTTGGGAAAATACATGCCGGTGACTTGTTCTTTGATCTAGGGGAGGTAGTGGCACCCAACCTGCAGCACCTTCCTGGCAGGAGCTGAAAACTCCAGGCTGACAGCTGGAAAGAGCAGGAAAAATACATGGAAAAGCTTTTAGTGCTCTCGCAAGCAGGAGGCTCCATCCTGTGCACTTTTTTTTTTTTTTTTTTAGCAAGCTGGCAGGAGGTTTTGGCCCATTGGGAGGGAATTCTGGCTGGGTTTGTCATGCACCTGAGTAATCCTGCTCATTTCCCTGAGCCTGGTCTCCAAACAGTGAGCAGAGGCAGGACTAGGCACTGCTGCAGAATGTGACCTTCCTTGGCTGCTGAGTCGTGTTCCCAAAATGTGGTCAGCCAAGGACTAAATCTGCAAGGTGAGAGTGTCTAGGGAAACCTCATTGTCTTGTAAGGTCTGGGAAAATTGCTGCATTTGTGGTTTATATCCTTTTATTTTCCATTCTTGCTTACTGCCTTCCCACACAGAAATTTAGCCAACATGCAAACTTTACCTTATGACAATAACTGGAACTCCTTCATTTGCACCAGAAAAAGGGGGCTCCTCTCTAGAAAAGACTAAAAAATTATATTGAGGCCGCTGTCAAACTTCTGCTGGAGACTGGGGGAGAAAGCAGGAAAATCAACAGTTATTGCTGAGTCTGGGTGATACACAGGTGCTGAGACATCAGAGTTTCAAGATATCTGCAAGTTTTCCTACAAACCCAGCACCTAGAGGGCAATCTTCTTCCTTCCCTGTGTCTGTCTGTTCCTCTCCAAATTTTGACCAAACCCTTTGATGACTAAAGTCAACACAACTCCATTTTATCTGGCCTAAGCTAAGCTAAGGGCTGGGTTTGTTTGTAGCCCACTGTGCCTACGTCAGCTTGCCGTTTAATGCCACAGTTCAATAACCGCTTAATGCCATTTAATAACGACAGTTATATCTTAGAAGAGGGTCCTAGGCATGGTCACATGGTGATTTTCTTTCTTTTTCTTTTTTATTTGTGGATCCTTGAAGTGATTGCTGTTACAGATTGTAGGTACCTGCTGGAATTCCGGCTATGGAGTTGGCTTCATGTGTGAATCAAGTCTTCATTTTCTTAGTGCCATGGAACAGGTTTGCAGAGCCCATGGGGCTGCAGATCCCTGCCGGGCAATCAATGACCCCTGTAATACCATATCTAATGTATGCTTTTTAGGTTCGCTATTGCAACTCCTTGGATGAGGAGGAGAAGAGGGAGCTCAAACTCTTCAGCAATCAAAGGAAGAGGGAAAACTTAGGGAGAGGCAATGTCCGACCCTTCCCCGTAACCATGACCGGAGCCATCTGTGAGCAGGTGAGCAGCAGCTCGTGGTAGAGCGAGTAGGAGCAGATCTGGAGGGCCTGGGTGAGCAGTGTCCACCCAGCAGCCATGAGTCAGCCAAGGAAGAGCACCCATGGTGTTTGATGACTGAAGTGGGCATTGTAGATGAGTCCAATTCAAGTCTTTGGTCCTCCATCCCATGGCTGCTGTCCTTCAAGTGCAGTGTGTGGGGACAGAAGGTTGACATGCTGACCACACACTGGGTTTCCATGGAGTGAAGAGGCACCAGAAAGCAGGGGGATCTTTCTCAGAGCTGTGAATTAGCCTTGGCCTGATGCTTTTGCACTAGCCAGTGACAGAAGCCGTGGCACATGGGCTCTCATAGACATGGTCTCCCCAGACTCACATAAAACACGGTGTTTCTTCTGACAGTGCGGGGGCCAGATCAACGGCGGGGACATGGCCGTCTTCGCCTCGCGAGCGGGACATGGCGTTTGCTGGCACCCCCCTTGCTTCATCTGCAGCGTCTGCAACGAGCTGCTCGTCGACCTGATCTACTTCTACCAGGACGGGAAGATCTACTGTGGGAGGCACCACGCCGAATGCCTCAAGCCCCGGTGTGCGGCGTGTGATGAGGTAAGAGTGGGCCAAGTTCCTGCCCCTCTTCTAGGCTTGAGTTTAAGCTCTGCCACGGCAGATCAGTCCAGTGGGGTCAATTTAGCGTGTTTCTAAGGTGAGAGGGGCTTTTGTTAAGCAACTGACCCATAAGGAAGAAGGAAAGCACCTGGCCAGGCAATGATTTGAGCCTGGGAGCTGGACTTGGGCTGTAGACAGAGGACCTTGCTCTTTGTGAGCTGGACAGAAGTGGCATATCCTGCTTCTGTATGTTAAAGTTAGCATTAGTAATGCACATCCTCTGGCTCACAGTGTGGACACAACAGGGATGCTTCCCCCTAGGTTTGTCCCAGCTCGCGTAGCACCCAGCATGGTGACACTGGGTGCATTAGCACAGTCTCCACATGGAGATGTGTGGGGAGAGCATGGGAAATCTGGTGATTTGGGTTGGTTTAGGGCTCCTGCCAAGTTTTCCTTGAGTTTCAAGTTTGCATCTGGGGGAGTTACTCTGGGATTTTTAGCTGAAATCTGACTAGAGTTACTATAAGATCAGCCCTGGATTCACACAGGGAGCCTGGGAGATCTTTCCATAAGAATTTCCTGTACCAACACACCCATGCCATGTCATTTTAGCCCATTTCTACCTGGCGTTGTTTCCTTTTCCCAGAAGACAACTCTGGATAGGATGAGTGCTGGGTTTCTTGCAAGCAGATAGTGCTTGAGGATCCACCGAGGCTTCAGTAGAGGAGATTAGAGGGATGCAGGGAGCCAAACAAATGGAATACAAAGCACATACAGAAACCCATGCAGAGCTGACCCTGAGCGTTTCTCAAGTGTCAATCTCACTTTTTAAAAGGCTGGCAAAGGAAATTGTTCTGGCTTTTAAACTTATGAAAACCATAGTGTGGAAAACCATATGTACTATAAAATACCAAGTCCCATCCATGCAAGCATATAATAGTAAAAATCCAAGGCTGTGTGCACATCAAATATAAAGAACATTGACGTATGTATCCAATTAAATTTGTAATGTTACCAGTAAGAAAAACAACTCCTAACCATTCAACTGCCCCTATTTCCTGATGGTTTAGGCTGGGTAATTTTTCTTCATGTACTTTTTAATCCTTGCAAATTCTCATACAAATCTTTCCTTTGACTTCTCTAACACTCTGTTTGCATCAAGAAATCCAGTAGTAGCTGCAAGGAGGGGTGACTCGGGCTGTTTCAGGTGGCTTTTGCACTAGTCCTTGGCTCTCTTCTGTGCCCCTGTTTCCCCATTGCTTTAATGACTGTCACCACCTTTATAAAACAGCGCACAGCTGAAGATGGGGAAGGGCCATGTTCAGTGTCACCTCTCCCTTCCCCAGAGCTGCCATTTTTTGCTGTTTTTCCATCTTTTGTGCGCAGCTTCCCTGTCTCAGCACTGGGTAGAGGTGTAATAAATGGCTGTTCTGTTGTTTGAGAGTCCACCGGATCAATAAGTTGTTTATGAGGGTGTTTATTACTGCCATCGATCCCTCCTGCTGCTGTTCTCCTGAGCACCCACCCTCAGGCCACGTTCCTGGGAGATGTTCCTTAGCTCCCTATCTTCACTAACGCGGTCCTAAGGCGCTTGCATTTTAATGCCAGGCTCCTCTGGGGATGGTTTCCTTGGGAAATGTCTGGGGGCAAAGCCAAACCAAGCGAGATTCCCAGCAGGTTGGGCGCAAAATGCCGGGATTTGGTTTGCAGCTCAGTGGTGTCCACGGCCCGGTACCCTCACTGGCTGCATTTGCACTCCCTGTTTCTTTCCTCCCCCTTCCCGCAGATCATTTTTGCTGACGAGTGCACCGAGGCCGAAGGCAGACACTGGCACATGAAGCACTTCTGCTGTTTCGAATGCGAGACGGTGCTGGGGGGCCAGCGGTACATCATGAAGGACGGCCGGCCGTACTGCTGCAGCTGCTTCGAGTCCCTCTACGCCGAGTACTGCGACACGTGCGCGCAGCACATCGGTACGGCACCGCCGCGGGGACAGCGCGGGGACGCCCGAGGGACGTCCCCACGTCGTGGTGCAGACAGAGCAGCGTTCACAGCGGAGGGGAGCAGCGCCCGGCCCGTTCCTGGCAGCGGGAGCTGTTTCATTAAGTCTCTGGCAGCAGGCCCGGAGGTTTTTTTTGCCTCCCGGCACAGCCGGCCCCGTCTCCCGTTGGGAAATCTCCGGGGCCCGGCGCCTGCTCCGCTGCTCCGTGCGCGGAGAGGAGGCCTCACGTGCTGCAGAGCCTGGCTCCCCCGGGAGGCTGTGGCGGTCACGGTTTGCTCAAACCCCTGCTTTTTCCAGGGATGAAAAGCAAGGGCAGATTTTATCCCCTTTTTTGTGGTGGAAGAGGGATTTCTTGAAACAGAGTGGAATATAAGAGAGCAACCTCAGGAACTATTAAGACTAGGGAAAGCTTTCTCAATCCTGCATTTCTCTGCCTAATTTAATGTTGTTTTTTTTTTTTTAAATAGCATTTTCCTTTAAACAGCCCGGCTCTTTTAATTTCAGAGTCTTACCAGCCAAGCTTGCTGAAGGATTGCATGGCTTAATGAGCTACTAGACAGAAAAGATGTTTGTTCATTAGAAATCATTATTGTTTCTCTTTGCCTTTTTTTAATTAAGCCACAGATAGATGTTCTCAGACAAAAAGAAATAATGCATTGAGGTCGAGCTGCGGTTCCAGGACAAGGATATTCAGTGTTTTAAAATGGGTTTTCTGCTAGAAACTAGCTATTTTTTTTCTCTATGCACCGGTTCATTGTACCACATTGCAATGAGATTCCTCTTGCAGTGGTTAAGGAGGACTTTGAAGCAGCCTCCCTGCGCTCTGCAATCCCTCTGCCACTTTACTGAGTGCATTTGCAGGTTCCTTTGGTCTGTCCATCTAGATGAGCTGCCACGTTTGCACGAGACCCGAGCAATTTGCAGGCTGACGGGAGAGGAAAATGAAAAGGTTTTTACCAGATGGCAAGGGGGACATCGCGGGGCTCCAACAAAGCGCTCGGAGGCCGCATTCGCTCGGCCCTGCTGCACCTTCATCCCCAGAGCCGCAAGGAGCAGCAGCTGCCCCATCTGTCACCCTTTGTGTCCTGTTCCTGGCCCTCAGCTCGGGCTGGTAACAACCAGGCACACAGTAAAAGATTTATCTTTACAAAAGGCGAAAAATAATTAAGCCTGGCTACCCTGTGTGTGCAACGAGCTCCTTGTAGCTGCACAGAGTCAGCTCACATGTAGTTGAGCTGGTGCAGACACCTCAGAGGTGTCATTTTGGTGTAAACCTGCTCATTTGGAGCAACGAGGGACAACAAACTGTGAGCAGTGACCACGGTGGGTTACCCCAAACAGCCGCAGGTGCCTCGGGCTTTGAATCAGAGCTGGGTTGTGCTCTAGGGTCGCTGGGCGAGGAAGACGTGGATGCTTTTCCCATGGGTGACTTCAGGTGATGGAACAGGGAGCTGATTGAATCCCACCCACTGTCTGCCAGCATAGCACTTCGCTGCTTTTATAAAAGCATTTCGCTCGTTATAAGGGGAAGGAGAAGAGAAAAAAAAAACAATTAAGCTAAAGCAAATCTAGGTTGGAATAAAACGCCCCATTAATACAGTGTTAGTTTGCGAATCCCCTGGCGGCAGCAGTCCCGGGGGCTGCAGCACGAGGTGTGCGATCCTGCCCTGCTACGCGGCTCTGAGGGTACGCCCCATTAATACAGTGTTAGTTTGCAAATCCCCTGGTGGCAGCAATCCCGGGGGCTGCAGCACGAGGTGTGTGATCCTGCCCTGCTACACGGCTCTGAGGGTGGCGCAGATTCCCCCGCACGGTTTGGTTGCAGAGTTTGTTGCTGTTGTTTTTAAGATAATCAGCACGTTATTGCTTTGACTTGAAGACCCTTATGGAGAACTTCTTGCATTCCTCTGCTTTATGATCAGAAATATCCCTATTTAATATGAAGTAGCTTGAGGCTGCTGCCTTTTCCAGTATGGAGCAAATCTTTGGCAAAAGCCGAGAACCTGAAAAGAATTAGGAAGGGTCTTAGTTTCAGTCGCTGGAGAAACCCAGCTAGCCCAAGGTGTGTTTTGCTCATGTGGAATGGCTGCTCAAGACGAGGGTTAAGCGACGGGCCCAGAAAGCTTCAGGCAGAGAGCACTCGACTTCCAGGACGTGGCTTGATTCTGACGCTCTCTGTGTGTTTCTCGCCCTGCTGAAGGCATCGACCAAGGCCAGATGACGTACGACGGGCAGCACTGGCACGCCACCGAGACCTGCTTCTGCTGCGCTCAGTGCAAGAAGTCCCTGCTGGGCCGCCCGTTCCTCCCCAAGCAAGGGCAGATCTTCTGCTCGCGCGCGTGCAGCGTCGGCGACGACCCCAACGGCTCCGACTCGTCGGACTCGGCCTTCCAGAACGCCCGTGCCAAGGAGTCCCGCCGCAGCGCCAAGATCGGCAAGAACAAGGGCGGCAAGGGCGAGGAGAGCGTGCTGAACGCGTGCGGCCAGCTCCAGGTGACCTCCAACCGCCTCTCCGCGGATGTGGACCCGCTCTCGCTGCAGATGGACCTGCTGAGCCTCTCCAGCCAGACGCCCAGCCTCAACAGGGAGCACCTGTGGAGGAGCAGGGAGGAGCTCTACCATTACGGGAATAAAATGGAGCAGAGTCAGTCCCAAAGCCCTCTGCAGCTTCTCGGTCAATGCAATATAAGGACCTCGTACAGCCCCAGCCAGGTGCCAGCCTCCCAGCCAGACTTATGGGCTAAACATTTCAGCAACCCCAAGAGAAGTTCCTCGCTGGCGATGAAGGGGCACAGCAGCAGCTTCATCCAGGACTGCAGAGAGGACTACTATTCAGGAAGGCTCCGCTCACAGGAGAGCTACAGCGATATGTCCAACCAGAGCTTCCCCGAGACCAGGGGCAGCATGAAAGTCCCCAAGTACGAAGAGGAGGAGGAGGAGGAAGGCGGGATGCCCACACAGCAGTGTCGGACCCGGCATCCCATCAACGCACTTAAGTTCACGGAGGACCTGACACCCACGGAGCAGACTCCGCGGGGCTCCATGGAGTCCCTGGCACTTTCCAATGCCACCGGTAGGTCCCCACGGCACGGGCAGATGGGACAGGGGAAACGGACTGGCCCAGGAGCACGTTGGGGTGATGATCAAAGGTTTGGGCTGCCAATTGCCCTTATTGCATGTCAAAACATCCCCAGGACATGTGGTCAGGAGAAGGAGCAGCCTCCCGAGTGGAGGGAGCTTGCCAAACCAAAGGGACACGTGGTGGTGACAAGGGAAGGGACACGTTTGCATATGTTCCACGCCACTGCATGGGACAGGGCCATGTGTGCATGACTGGTGACGCCCTTGTCTTGCCATCCAGGCTAAACGTAACCCAAACATTTCCTCCCTCCATCAGGGATCTCCCAGGTTTCTCCAGGCACCTGAGGGTGAGGCTGGAGGGTTGCTCCTGCTCTCTGGTGCTCCCTGCACACTCGGAGCCTTAAGAAAACATATTTGGTAATGCGAAAAACCTCTTTTACACATTTAAAAGAAAGAAAAAAACCAAGACTGCTCCCTTGGGCTGCGTTAAGCCCTTTGCAGGCGCAGCCTCCCCGTGGAGGCTGAGCGCGTGGTGCCTGCCGGGACCCTCGTGCTCTGCCTGGCTTTTCCTTGCTCGACCCTTCTGCGTAGTGCAAAACAAATGTTTCCAAACTCTTTAATCCTCCCCTTTGCAAGGAGGGGAAGAAGCAAGGCCAACTGCTAAAGCAGAGACAGATCCAGCACTCAGCATCTAAAGAGCTGTTGCGAGCTGCCACGGAGGGCTAAAAATATTTCTAAATGCTTTGAAGCTGGCCCAGTTAACCCCTTCTGCGTGTTGTGCAGTCATGAAGCATGTTACTAGTTAAGCCAGATTCCTTCCCCTTTAAACACAGCTCTTATTCTCACTTCTCATCAGGGGCAGGGAAAAAAAATGGGCAAGACACTTTTCTTGTTCAGCTGAGCCCTTTTCCCACGAATGCCTCCTAATGAAATGCTCTGTGGCCATCTCACCCCAAATGTGTTTGGGTTTCGTGGTTGCAGGAGTGTGTGCATTAAGAGTAGGATATCCAGTGGGTATCAGGCTTGGTTGGGTGCAGAGCCCCACACAACCGTGTTTTTCTGGAGCTTGCAGTAGTTTATGTCATTGGATGACTGCACTTCTCTGGCACAACTAACACCTTTTGCTCCAGAGTGCCTTACAAAAAACTTCTTGGAAAACAAAATCCCAGATGTGATGTGGCTCCCCTGGCGCTTTCCCACTGGAGCCAAGTGTTGTGTGGCTGCAGACATGTGCACCCACCGCTGCAAACACGCGTCTGTCTTTCCCACTTGCATCCCATTGCGAGCAGCCCGGAGGGTGTCCTGCACCTCCAAGCCCCCCACCAGGGTTTGAGACCATCTACACATCCCTACGTGGGAAAAAGCGTGAGACAAGGAGCTAACGGGATGGAGGGGTAGTTGCTCAAGCAGCTTAAGTATCCGTAGGAGAAGGAGAGACCTGACGTGGAGAGGGAGGAATTGCTCTAGGAAGGGACCTTCTTGGAAGCAAAGCCGCAGGTTTCCAAGGCAGCTCGCGCTGTTGAAACCCCAGTTGTGCAAACCCCCCGGAGTGCAGCCGGCCTTGAGCAACACCCAGCTCACAGGAGCAAGACGTGGGTATGGAGGTGGCTGTTCCCTACGTTGGAGATTAAGTGTAACAAGATACAGGGACACAGGTCATGGGACAAGGAGTTTAGCAACTCATATTTGGGTGAAAACTCATTCTGTCCTTCATTTTAGAAGTCCCTTTTTCAAAATGCAGAGGAGGAGATCCAGCAAAGGTACCCGGCTTCCCTACATGGCTAAAATACAAATTTCCCTGCAGACAGTCTCAGCGTTAATGACTCGGTTCTTTGCTGCTCTTTTGGAGAAGTTGCTCAGCATGATGAGGCTTGTAATGAATTTAAGCAGCACCTCTGAAGGGTGAGGTGATAACATTTTTATTAATGCCTCAGATGTAATAATTTTCCTTGCTTTGGAAGCTGTCTCTGCTCCAGCTCTGGGACTCCGCGCTGTGATAATAACAGGCAGCTCCTCCAGCATCACAGATGAAGGGAGGGAATTATTAACCCCTTTAATAGACAGCATCTGAGGATGGAGGGATTTGGTGACCTGCCCGTGATGATTTTATTTCTTTTTTCCTTTTGGAACCCAGGCAGGTTGTTAAATGGCAGCATTAGCTACGGGGTGAATTTGGTGGTGGGGTGTTGGCACAGGGACATGGGGATGCAGCACCCGGGCGCTTTGCTCTCCACCCTTCCCTGCTCCCACAGCGGCCAGGCCTGGACATAGCAAGCTCCGTGGCAAATACTTTGCAAATGAAAACCAGGCTGTGGTGCCCCTTGCTCCAGAAGGCCCGTTTCCACATGCTGAGCTCCCATAAATAACGCTGGGGAAGGGGAGCACAGAGGCTGCTCTGGGAAATTCACTCGGTGACTTCCACCCAGTGTGTCCTTTGCAAGAAACTCCAGGCTCTCGGCCATGCCAAAAAAAAAAAAAAAAAAACCCTTTGAGTTAATAACTCTGCGCAGTCGCTCCACCTCCTAAAATGAAATAATCAACACTGGATCCCTCTGATATTTTTATGGCATCGCTGAAAATGTTGTTTTTATAGGGAGCTGAAGGGCAAACAGTCCCCAACCTGCAGAGCACATGTTAAGAGCTGACTGATTCTTCCCCAGCAGCAGATTTCACAGTGATGTTTCTATTACAACTTAACCGATAATTAGCAGGGGATGTCAGTAAAAGCAGGTAACAACTGGGCGTGTAGTCCCTGTCCTCTGCAGGGAAGGCTGCCTCCCTTGACCAAGTGTTGTCCCTTTTTTTTCTCATGGGAAGGAGTATGATCCTCCCAGGGGTTAGTCACTTCCCAGGGGATGCTCAGTCGGATACAGGCTGTCCCCAAGGCGTTGGGATCCCCAGAGTGGTGCAGGTCTACGGGGTGCTCACATCATCCTCTGCAAAGGACAGGCAAATGCTCTGTGTTCTTGGCAGCCGACTTAGAACGCACAAGCTGGTTGCTGCTGATTCCAAGCAGCCTTTTCCACAGATGCCAGCTGGTCTAATAGCCCACTTAAGGAAGTACCTGCAGGCTAAATTTTATTCTCCCATAACAGTCTGTGCTGTTTGCAGAGAAGCAAGAGTGTTTTGGAGGTAAGCTCATACTGAATGGCAAGAGTGGGCATATGCAAAAGGAGAAATAGATTTTAAGTATTCCTTGAGAAAGTTTAGTTGGTAAAGGATAGCAGCAGTGCTTCATATCATCTCCCCTTCATGTGTTGTAGGTATAAATCCAGGGAAAAGAGCTGTTAAACTGGTGCAGCTGCAGTGTGGAATGCAATTGTGCGTGTATGGCGCAAGCTTTTCTCATCGTCTCTATTGTAAAATGCCCAAAGGCCCCAACTAGCTTGTTTTTCCAGGGCTAAACAACCATGATATATCCAGAAAAAAAGGAGAGAGAGAAAATGTATGAATGCACACGTCATCTTTGATCCTCGCACGATTGATTTGCAGAAAGGGACTTAACAACCTAACTGCTTATTTGTCTCCACTCCCCTTTTCTTCTTCAGAGGTTGAAAACTGTAAAACGACTAAAACAACCAAACTGATTCTCTTTGGTTTTGTAGTACAGAGGGAGGACTCCAGCTGAGGGAGCTGGAGACGAGCAGACTTGGGAGACCTTATTGCTCTCCACAGCTACCTGAAAGGAGGTAGTCCTGAGGCAGGGGTCGATCTCTTCTCCAAAATAACTACTGATAGGACAAGAGGAAATGGCCTCCAATTGCACCAGGGGAGGTTCAGGTTAGCAATCAGGAAGAATTTCTACATGGAAAGAGTGGTGAGTCCTTGGAACAGGCTGCCCAGTTGGAACAGGCAAGTGGTGGAGTCACCATCTCTGGAAGTGCTCAGGAAACGTGTAGATGAGGCACACGGGGACAAGGTTTAGCCAGCACGGTGGGGACGGGTTTATGGTTAGACTTGATCATCTTGAAGGTCTCTTCCAACCACAATGATTCTATGACCTCGATCTGGTATGGCAGCTTTAAAATGTGCGATGACCTTCCCAGCATTGGTGGTGGAGGGTGGCAGCCCCAGGCTGCACCCATCTCCTTGGTGTGGGGTGTGACGAGTGGCCAGGTGCTCAGCTCCACCTCTGCTATGTTGAAAGCCTCCTATTGCAATCCAGGGTGGCTGTTTGCATGTCTTTATTTCCAACCCTGGGCTCTCCGCACTCTTCCCAAGCTGATACTCGACCAGCCTTCTCTTCTCTGAGCTGAATTCTCCTTGCGGCAATTTGGAGGACCTGGAGGATAACGTGTTCCCCTCCTCTGTGCAAGCATTTCCTTGCATTTGAAAGCTGTTATTACATCCCCTTGAGCCTCCGTTTCGCTAGACTAAACAACCCCTCTTTCAAACTTTGCTCGTAAGTCATGTTTTGTAGATCGCATTTTTTAGACAAGCTGTTACTGCTGTCCCCTGCACTGGCTGCAGGCTCGAGCGCTCCTGGAGCTGGGGCTTCCCGGGGAGCACAAGGAGCATTTCCCGTGCTCCACAAGATCCTCCTGGCCTTCAGCAGGGAGGAGGCATCCCCGGCTCCTGGTGCATCTTTGCAGCTCCCTCGGGAGCAACTCGCCCCAGTGAGACAGTGGAGCTGATGCTTAGAGCAGCTTTCTAGCACGGCTTGGAAGTCACCTCCTTGGCCTGGAGCCTGGTGCTCCGTGAGCGCCACGCGGCACCCTGCGTGTCTGCAGGGATGCTCTGGCATCCCTAGGGCAGATAAAACCAAATTGGGGTCTCCAAAGAAAGCCAGTTTTGTAGGACAGGAGCAAAAGGAGCTTCTTCTTTCCACTGAGGTTCCCCTCGTTCCCTCCTGTGGTGCCAGCGCTCCTTCTACTTCACTTCAAACCCAGTGGGAAAACTCAACCTCGGCGAGTAGCATGAAATCCTGGGTGCTTTGTAAATGGATTTAGTTTAGACTCGGCAAAGCTCCTCACAGAGCTGGAGCTTCCCCCGGCTCCAGGTGGGCCGCAGGGGGCTGAGCTTTCCCCCAGGGCAGCTCATGGGTGCGCATGGGAGATGTGCTCGGGGCTGCGCTTGGGCTGCAAGCAATGTTTTCTCCCGGCGATTCCAGATCTTAAAAATGCATGTGCTTAATTATAACCAGGCTGTCTGGATGCTCTGCCGGGAACCCCCGCAATCTCCTGGCCATCAGAACGCGACGGGCAGCAGCTTCGGCGGGGATGAGAGGTTTGCCAGGATGGTGCCCACACAAAGAGCAGCTGCAGGAGAGAAGAGAGTCCTTTCCAAAACAAAATGCATCTTTTCCTTTTTTTTTTTTTTTTTTTTTTTAACCCAGCCTTTCTCTTCTCCTAGGGTTTTAAGTCACATAACTTTTCTCCACAGCCATAAAGTCAAGAAACATCTTGACTAAAGCAGCAAGTTCCCAGTATAGACTTTGCCTCTGGCAGCTGGGACACAGGAAATAAAGCCAAATGGTGGAAGAGCCAGGATAAAACATCCACCGTGGGTTATGCTGAGGTGCCAGAGCCCTTCCTGCTGTTAGAGAGTGTAGGGTCAGGTTGGGACAGGCGCTCCTGGAAAATTTTACCTGTTTTTGCAGCATCTGTTGATCGTTTCAAGGCCAATCCCAAGCAAGCCTGATGCAGGCAGAGCAGACCCTGCTCTTGTTAATGTTTGGCAGGCAGCAGCTAGTGCCCAAGGAGTTGAGCTCTTGATGAAATGTAAGCAGCTCTTATTAAGGAGGAGGAAAAAAAAAAAAAAAAGGAGCAGTTTATTCTTGAGTTGTGGGCTGGGTTGTTGTTTTTCTTAATTAATTTACCAAATCGTGAATTCTCGGTGATTGCACAAGGGGGTGTGCGTCACGGTGAGTGTCACGGGGTCAGGTCTGAGCCGGGCGAGCGGCGAGGAGGCGCGTGCCGAAGCAAACGCCGCCTTTCCTGGCCTTTCCTTTGGAAGGGCTCGCGAAATGCACCCTCCCAGGCTCCTAACACAGGCACTTGCTGCTGCCACTTGTCAAGCCTATGTGGAGAGGGTCAAAAAATAGCCAGGAAGCAGCTGGAAAGCTGAGGGCCTCGCTCGTGGGAGGATGCTGTGCTGGCTCCACGCGTCCCTGCTGTCCCCACGAAGGCTTTCCCAGCTCATGGAAAGCACCTTGTGGGAGATCAGGGGCTGGCAAGTGTGTGGGGAGCCCCAGCGGATGCTTTCCCAGGCAGGAATGTTCATGGGGACTCCGTGGAAAGCTGGAGCTGTCCCTCCTGGCTCCTCTCCACATCCGGCTCCCTGGATATCTGCAGCGTGCTGCTCTCGACCTGACCTTCCAGCTTTGTTTTCTACCTACAGGCAACTCCAGTGGGTGGTCTGTGGCTTTGCTGGGTTTTTTGCTCCTTATAAACTTCAAGCAGTGAGATAAGACAGTGCGAGCAGGGATATATGGTGCAGGCAGTGAGATATACGGTGCCTGGGGACAGGCGCCCTCCTCTTGCAGGCAGGAACCGTAGCAGGACAGTTTGGTGGCAGGGGACAAGCCCATGTCCACATGCACCCATCTTCACCTGACTGAGCATCACCTATGTGCACGTGGTCCTCTCACATGCGCTTGGGGCCTGGGGAAGAGTCTGGATTAGTTGGTGGCCCTGTTTTTGGCTCTGCTTTTTGTTAACTCCTCCCGAAGGCGTCATCCCTGTGCAAGGTGTGGGTGCTGGATCATGGCACCCTAGTTATTTCAGTGTGCAGGAGACCTCAGGTTACCTCCGACGCACGAGTTTGTCGTAGGATATCGCTAGTTATTCCTGTCAAGTTGCAGACAGCGTGGACATATGGAGAAAGAAGTCATGAAAAGCATCTACTGTTCCTTGGAGTCCAACTGAAAACACCTTAAATTGGTGTGATTTCCCCAAAGGGGGAACCGGCTGCTTTCTAAAAAAAAAGAAAATCAGCCTCTCGGGTGACTCTTTAGGAGGGCATCTGAAAAACAAGGTGTTTTTAAAGCAGAAATCCACAGTTTCAGACCAGCAGCAATCCACAGTTTCAGACCAAAACCAGGTCCTCTTGCTGCATCTGTGCTGGTAGAAAACTCGTTAACTCTCTTTCCTTTCCCCCCTTTCCCTGCAAGGGCTCTCTGCAGATGGCGGGGCCAAGCGCCAGGAGCATCTCTCCCGGTTCTCCATGCCGGACCTGAGCAAAGACTCCGGCATGAACGTCTCGGAGAAGCTGAGCACCATGGGCACGCTGAACTCCTCGGTGCAGTTCCGCAGCGCCGAGTCCGTGCGCAGCCTCCTGTCCGTGCAGCAGTACCCGGACGTGGAGCCCAACCTGCGCAACCTGGCGAGCCCCCGGAGCTACCGCGAG